AGTATAGTGTTGGGTGACGAGTACTAAAACCTTTATCTTAGTATTTTTTTCAATTTTAACTATATTTGAGTTGCATTACTAGTTACCTTCAGGGCCTCCCTGGTGGCACAAGGGGTTAAGCTCAGCACTATGAAGCTATCCACAGCCTCTGCAGCACAAGTTCGATCCCCACCCGGTCAGGTAGCTACCCACACAGTGCAGCAGACCTCTCCTGACTCACCCACTGCTCCCCTCAACAGTGTATGTCAGTCAATCTGCCTGTTCTGTTCCCCTCTCTGTCTCTGGTGAATCCTCTCAACCCCACAACTCTGGCCTGTACCCCAGTTCTTATATCCGTAAATAAATAAATCTTTTTTAAAAAGTCAGCTTCAACTAACTGCAGTAATGATTACCTTCAAATTACATGTCAAAAACATACTGACATCATAAAAAATATCTCTTTAGAAAGAGTATGTTTCTAAAGTAAATGTATTTCTTTTTAACAAAACTCTGTAACAACAATTATTTCTTGCCAACAGCTAGTCATTTTGGAATCAGTATTCACTGTATTATCCATACTGGTCATTGAAGCAACTTGAAGCAGTTTGCTTCTTTAGCATTAAAAATGTAGGTTTGGACCATAGTTTAATATTAAATTTGGTTTTTAAGATGTGTTGAGGAGGTAGCTTCATTTTCTCTTGCTACACTGAGGAAATGAACTGTTGTTCCTCAAAAATGACTTGAGGCAAAAGACATTAATGGCTCTTCTATTCTCAGAAGAAAGTAGAGGACCACATGAATACCACATGAGATCAACCAGTCATTTCCTGGATGCTGATTTAGATCCAAAATAATGAAATGGAAAATAACTTTTTCACTATGATATTTGTGTAATAAAATGCTTTGTATGCATTTTACCATCTACCAGGAGGTAATTTTCTACTAAAAGTTATGAAGGTATAACTGTCCTTGTTCTAGTCACTGAAAATTGTTTCTTTTGTCATGTGTTCAATCCTTATTTCTGAAACACACAGTTTGTACCTCCTTAAAGAAAGTTGGAAATTTTATGTTGGTTCTTAAAATCTTATATTGATATTGCTTTTAGAAGTTATTAAATTTGACAAGCTGCTATATAGTCACTGTATTCATAATTTACTACTTTCCATGACTCCTTACACATAGTTATAGTAACAATAGCAAATAACTATATGCTTAATAAGTGGTGTACTTAACCTGCTCAGTAGTCCCATGTATTAAGTAATTCTTCCTATTTTACAGATGAGGAAACTGAGGTACAGAATAGTTAAGGAATCTGTTCAAAATCTTAAGGTTAGTACTGGTATTTGAAATTTGGCAGTCTAGAATATATGCTACACTCTTTCTGTACACATTATGGTACAGTATACCTTACTGACCTTAATAAAGAAATGCATGAATTTCTTTGTTGCTAATTCAGGATGTTAACTGTGGTTCCAAATCAGTGTGAACTGTTTTTGCGTCAAAACCTATCTACCTTCACCGCTTCTTGCGCACACTCTAATTTACAGCTCTTGTTTCCCGCACTTTAGTTGATTTTTGGTGATTAAAGTGAACTGCTCATCTACAACAAAAGCAAAGACATTTCTGCCGATAGCAAAAAATGACAGCTGAAACAGCATTTAAAGTACATCTTGAATAAATGTTCAAAAGCATGGCCTTAGGGCAATTTCCTGTTTTACTGGAAAATCTACTTTGCTAGTGTCTGATAAAATTGTATGAACAGGGGAAGCTTAATTCTCCAAGGCATGTTCTATGGAGCATTTGACAGCTTATCTGATGAAATACACTCTAGTACCAGTTCAGAGAGACCATGTGCCCCTCACAGAGGAAGCCCAGTCTCAATGGTTCTTGTAGCCTTGGGGCTGATGTTATTAATTCCTAAGTGAACTGATTAGTGTTTCGTTGACTTATTTCCCAGTAACTGTACATAACTTGACATGCCAAAGGTTTTCCATCCACTGTTGAAAATGACTTACTTGTGTAGGGAAATTTTATTAGAACCATTTAATATTTTGAATCATCCAGGTGATTCAATAAATTTAGAAAAAATTAAATCACTTCTCACATAAGATTGGATGACGTGTCAGTCCAGGCCCATAATGAAATGCCCCACTGTCCATAAACTATGAGGGAAAAACAACTATTTCTAAGCAGCATCAAGTGAATGGAGCTAGTGGCTCAGTCTGCCATGAGGCGGTAGAAGAATATGACAAGGAAATTTGTTCTAAAATACTCCCCATTGCACACATGAAAACATTCATAACTCTTAAAATCTAACTATAATCCAAGAAGATTTTCTATCCTGAATCCAATGACCTTTGCCAGGTCTACTAGCCTATTTGGAGTTTTGTTAAAATTTATGATTATGTAACTAACCAGCATCAGGTCTTTATACTCCAGGCAGTTAACAGAAGGTTCATGTGTATGAGAGAGTGTGTGTGTGTGTGTGTGTGCACGTGCACACCACCCTCCTTGTATCAAATGCTAGTTGGTACGGATCAGCCTGGTGAGAGAATAACAAAGCTGGAAAACTGAACAGCATCATTTTGGTGCCCCACCGAATTGCCTTTGGGGTCCTCATTGAATTGTTTTTTATTCAGTTGAGCTTTGGTGTTCGTTACATAACATGCAAAAAAGACAGATGCTGTAGAGTTTATTGCTCTCACATCACACAGAGTTTTCTTTGTGATAAAACCATGGATACGTCTCTAGGATCTCAAAGTTGGTCTGCTTTTGAATAACTGGTTCATATTTGTCATATGAACACTGAAAAATTTAAGTATTCTTCCATGTCCAGAAAATTTAAAGCCAATATTGCAGCTCACCCCCATAATATGCATGAGAGTTTCCAACAAGAATTTCATGTACCAATCTCATTCCTAGCTTCAACCTATATTTTTAATCTCATCTACTTTTGGGATACTTTTCCTTTTTTACTTATTTGACCATGAATAGATATAGCTTCAATGTGTGCATTTCTGAGCCAGCCGAAATTTTACTAGAGCATGTCAGGACATAAATAAATGAATGAGTACATGTCCTTAGGTTAAGTTCATGAGTCGTTTATTCTCCAAGGTGATTCTTCTGAGCTATGACAATGATAAAGATAAAAATGAATATTGACGATTATGAAAATCTGATAAAATCAATGACATAAAAATTTCCATATGCTGGAACTGCAACAACAAGGAACTTACTTCCCTAATCTGCATTTCTTCATTTTCTTCGATTGAGAATATTTCATATATATGTTATAAATATTTGGTAATTCATTCATTTATTCAAACTGCAGAACAGCTACACCATAGATGGTATAGCTATATATATATATATATATATATATATATAATAAATGGATAAATAGATGGATAGACAGAATTGTATATATGTACAATACAAACTGTTCCACATGCTAGGGGCAGAACAGAAAGCATACTAGGTAAGGTTCTTGCTGACCAGAAGTTTATGTTCTCATGAGGGGACACAAAATAAACAAGTAAGCAAATGAACAAGGTCATGCCAGATGGCAGTAAATGCTATGAGTGCTGTGGCAGAGAAGGTAGTCATATAAGTCTTCTTGAGAAGCTGACAACAGTTACATGAAACTGAGTGAGGAGAATTTCCAAGTGGATCAGGCAAAGGCATCAGAAAATTCAGAAACTGAGATGGAAATATGCTTGTTCCCATTAAAGAACAAAAAGAGGGGGCCTCCCTGGGGGCGCAAGGGGTTAAGCACTGCACTATGAAGCAATTCTCAGCCTCTGCAGCATGAGTTGGATCCCCGGCTGACCAGGGAGCACTCACATGGAGCAGCAGACCTCTCCTGTCTCTCCCGCTGCAAGCATGAATGAGAACAGAAAGCCTGAAAAGGATTACATATATATAATAATATGTATGTGTGTGTGGAGGGGTGTATGTATATATATATACATACACAGTCAGTCTTCTTATTGGGAGATATCAATTATTGCTAGCAACATTTTTAGTAAAGACCGGAAAGCAGAGATTGTTTAAAGGGCTTTTGGTTGGTTATTTATTTATTATTTTGGTTTTATTTTGTTGTTGTTGTTGTTGTTGTTGTTTGCCATATCTAGGGGGAAAAAAATCTCTTTTAGTTCTGCCATGAGTCAAAACATGAAGCAAAAAGCAGGAAAGATAATGGCTAAAGTGGGACAATATTAGCTCCCCAGAGAGGCAGCCAGTGTTTATTCCTGCGCATGAGTATAAAGTGGAACTGTGGTAAAGGTGAATAAACATGTCACCGATGCAACTCCAGAGACCACATGAAGTCCTGGATGGTGATAAAGAAATTGCCAAGGTAGGACTGAGAGCTGAGGTGGGTTCGTCCTCAGCCCCACTGCTTCCTCAATGGTAACCCCTTCCTCAGGAGGGAGCCCTCTAAGCTCCACCTCCCCTTCTGGGACAGTTAAAAAAGGGTTATAACACAGCTTCTGCTTTGCAGGTGCTTGACAGCTACTGAATGAAACAAGACACATGCCCCAGAAAAAAAAAAAAAAGAGATATTACTAAAACATAGTAGGAATGATCGCTACACCCTGCAAATGGGCAGCACAAGCCGTATTTTACTAACCCTCTAACTTTGAGAGTATGCAGGGGAAAAGTCAGGAACATCTTATCTAAAGAAATCCTTAAGAAATGGAATCGCCATGTATTATCTTAATTAGTACTGTTGGAAGGGGGTTTTAAGAGAACATGAAGCTTTGTGATCATTTAAAACCATTTAAACTATGGAGAGCATCCCAAATAGCCTCAAGCTCTCAAATGGCTTTTCTTTGTTAAATGGGAGCAGTCCAGTCCTCAAACCTGTATAGCTTATTTATCAGAGGCATCTAGAACTAGCTAGAATTCTTTCTTTCTACCATCTCCAGAGTGGGCTTTCCCAAGGGTGATTACACCCTATATCAGAAAACTGCTCTCAATCCAGAAAAACGAAGCAAGAATTAGTGTCAGTGCTCACATACCTTCTACTTCAGGCTCCAAAAGTTTGTATCTCCCAAAAAGCCCCAGGAACTTCAGAGCAGAGGGTACTCCCAACACGGTTCCCTCAACAAGGTTTCAAGGGCCAAAAAAAAGCATCTGTTGTAGAATCTGATTCCCTGCAACTGGGTGCTTTTCATCAGCCACCACATTTCACAATTTCATGAGAAAAGGCAGAATTCCCATCCGTTCCAAAAGTAGATACAAATGTAGAAGGAGGAGTCTTCTTTATTTCCCCTCTAGGGAAAATTTATAGATTACAAGTGGTGGAGACAGGACAAAGAACAAAAACCAACAGGCCTGTGTACTGATGTGACTTCTTGATTTCTATATGAGTTTATGAGATAAGAACCATCTGGTATTTGAGTTGTTGGACATTTGGGGTTGGAACTTTGGTCTTGTTTCTCTGTTGCTATCATCGTTCATTTTAGGTAGAAAATAGCAAACAGAGTAGTCCTTGAGATTTATCCTCTAAAAACAAAGAACTTCTCACATGAAGGACATAAAGTTGATTTATCATAGGGTTTTGAAAACAGTTTAGTCTTTGTTGACTAGTGTTCTATAGAATGTTGGATAAATTTAGTTTGGTTATTTAAAGCTATCGATGCTGCCTCAAAAAGAAAATAAAACTAACATTAAAATCTTCATTTGACCCAGTGACTCAGCTGAAAAAACAAATATATTTGCTTGTTCTTTTACAAAACATTGTGAGGCTAACACCTGCACATTTGTGTTTGAAAAAGGCTGCATTGTTTTTAAAATTCACAGTATTTCCTTTAGTTATAATTTGCTGTAGCGATTTTTAAAATGAGTTATTCCTTCCATGCAATTCATTTTGTAAAGGTGAGTCTTTCTTGTAAGATTTGACTGAAATCATGAAACTCAGTATTTGCCACTTGATGTCCCTCCACCTCTCAAGCTGCTGTAAGCTCCTGGATCTGGAACCATGGATGGGTTTATACAGCAGATACTGCTTTATGAAGCATGGATGAAAAATGAAAAGCAAGTAGACAGGACTTTTCAGAGTTCACAGGTTTATCCCATCCCAGTCTATTTCCTAGTCAAGAACTTCAACACCAGCTTTGAGCACATGTTTCTAGAACTTCATTATTCCTTCATGTAAAAACAACTCAGCAATTACACATCAACTTACATCATTTGGTTTTCAAGCAGCTTTTCACAGTAAACACAAAATCTCCCCCACAGACTAAACTAAAAGTTTGCTGCACAAACTTGGACAAGATTCAAAATATAAATCACAGGTGCTTGTCAAGTTCGTGTAAGCACTTGAAGGCTACCCAGAATACATGCACATGCCTCACTCCAAGAGGCAGAGAAGGCCCAGCTTCCATCAGTGAACGAGTCCCAGCTCCTCCTGCCCCTCTCAGTCAGTCCTCAGCACAGCCCATCTCCTTCCTCTTCAGCAGCTGAATGTCACAAACACAACTTAGGCACAGAGACTATAACCTTGCTCCAGGGACATCCTGGACACATCTTTTCTCTACAGATTCATTTACCTCCATGAAACAATAAACAAAAGCAGCAGCCCAAGCCACAACTCACAGGAGAGCAATCATGTCCACAAACACTGTAGCACTCAGCTCTTGAAACATCATTTGTTGCTGGACATGGATGCTTTCTACCTCATGAGCAATGACCATGGAGGAACAGTGCTGTGCAGCTGGACCAGCTGCTGGAAAGCATGTCAGAGCAGGAGAGAGAAGAATATTATCGGGACACCTTTGTGAATGGAGCCAGAAGGGCAGAAAGTCAGCAGTTCTACAAAAAGCTGTCAAATTTCCCAACTACACTGATACTTTGCAAAAAGAAAAAAAAAAAGTGGTGGAGAAAAGAGAGGAGTTTAGAAGAGAACATAAAGTCAACATTTTCCACAAAGGTCTATCCTTGTATTTAGTCACTCTCTCTATATATGAGAACAGCCCTCAGCTACAGGGACGCAGGAGCAGCCAGAGGTGAGCTAAGATGTCACTTGACAGGAAATTCCAAGGTACCGTCTTCACTGTAAAATCAGAAAGAAAAAAAAAAAAGGAGATAGAAATATGGAAGAAAATCGAAATGTAAAGGAGGATTAAAAGAAGGATGGGGAAGGGGAGACTAATTGATTCTGATTCTCTTCAAAAAGAACACAATGGAATTGTTGCTTCCAGGGAAAGCATTCTGAGCGGTGACTATTTCTTTACCTACCTTTGGATGAAGCTGAAGCTAACATTTTTTAATTAACCTAGTCTTATTTCTCCAAGATAAAAGAAATTCAAGTCAACAGACACCTTTTCCTTTTGTGCGAGCACCAGCAATCAGTGACATAGATGGAATGTTCACACAACTTCCTGATGACTCTGAGTGTGCTACAGTCTTTCTGAAAACATCATTTCAGTAAAGTCTAGCAGCAAGTTGTTGACCTCGTCCCTCTATGCCATGCAGAGAAACCAAAACTCAAGAGGTTGAGTGAAGGTCACACAGCTGAAGAGTGAGGATTTGAACACAGGTCATGTGGCATTAGAACCACTGTAGAGTTTATTTACTCCGCACTGCCTGTGAGCATGAGCACCTCCCTACATCACAAGCCCCCCCCCCACTGCGTTCATTTATAATATTTAATATTTTTATAGTATTTTATTTTATAATAAAGAACTTTAATTCTGGCAACCACATCTATTTTCATTTTAACATTAGTACACTGATAAACATAAGAAGAATATTGGGTTTCTCTTTTAATCTTTTTTTTTTTTGCATTCAATGTACTTTTTACCTAGCTATTAAGTTACTAAATAACATCATTTCACTCTATTCAACTCCACCACTACACTTTAGTCACTCTTGTCAAGATGAACCTCCATCTTGCCAAATCCAGTTGTTTTTTTTTTAAATTTTTTTAAATAGAGGCATTTTTTAAATTTATTTATTTATTTGTTTGTTTTGTTTACACATGCACTGGGTACAGTCAGAAGCGCGGGAGGGTGAGAGAATTCACCAGAGCCAGAGCGGGGAGCAGAGCAGGCAGAAGGACCGAAGTACACTGCTGAGGGGAGCAGCGGGTGGCAGGAGAGGTCTGCGCGCCATGTGGGACCCTCCTCCGGTGGCCGGGGAGCAGCCTGGGATCGAACCGGCGCCACAGAGGCCGCGGGCAGCTTCGCAACCCAGCGCTCAACCGCTGTGCCACCGGGGAGGCCCCCAAATCCAGTTTTAACACACCTCACTTGACATGATTCACAGCACTGGCACTGTTGACTACTTTCCTTCATCTTGAAAATCTGCATTCACTTGGTTTGAAGAACATTATACAACCAATTTTTGCTTTTGTCTCAGTTAACAATACTCTCTAGTTCCCCAGAATCTATTTCCAACATTCCCCATATATCTCACCAGATATCTCTCTTACACTTTTAAAGTCTATTCCTAACTTAATAGAATAACATCCAACTCCTGATCCACAAACTTCTACATGGTCTTGCCTGTTAATCTCTCTGATCTCACCCTCTATTTTTCCCTCCCTCATTCCTTTCCACTAATTCTTCCACATCTGTTGACCATAAAACTCACAAACTCATATCTACCTCAGGGCCTTTGCATTTGCTATTCCCTCTGGCTAGAATGCTTTTCCACCAGGTCATGATTCATCCTTTCATTTCACGCTCATGATTAGCCTTTTCTGAAATTTCCTTTAAGAGGCCTCCTCTAGCCACCCAAACAAAAGGTATCTTCCTCTAACTTTGCCCTGCAGTTCATGCTGTATTTGCTTTGATTGGGGCTTCCCTAAAGTATTACATATTGTTTTCTTTATTATCTGTCCTCCACTAGGATACCAATTCCATATGGGTGAAGACTTGCTGCGTTTGTTCTTAGTGGTATTTACAGTGTACAGAACAGTATCACATTCTAGGTTCTCAAAGTATATTTATTAAGTGAATAAATGAATCTGTGAGCCAATGTAGGAGAATATAAAGCAAAAGGAAACTTGTGAGAGAAAACACGGCAAAGGTAGGCTAGTATCGATTGACACTGGATCTTGAAGGTCAGAAGAAGTAGCTTGGATTCCATTTTAAATACAGTAGAAAAGGCCTTATATAAGATCTTAAGGAGAAATAAGACACCGTCTGATTAATGTTTTAAAAGATGACTGATTGCCTTGTGAAGAATGATATGCATAATTTCATGTCCTTTCTTGAAAATCTGTGTGCAAACCAGATCATGGTAAATTGACTAATATTCTTAAAATATTATAGTACCCCTCAGTTTTATGAAACAGTAGTCCATCCTTATCCAAGGTTTTTTCCCATGGTTCAGTTATTTGAAAAAACTCACCTTAATATAGAGGAAATGTTACCTCTCATTTTCCTTCCCTATAAATTTTAGGATCCAGATATTTTTATTTGAGGAGAAAAGCTTACCCTCATTGTCAGACTTTTTTCAAGTTACTTTCACCTTAAGTAGGTGGAAAATAATACATGCATACCGACGCAAAGATGTAGTGTGGAAAGATGAGAGGAAATTAGAAACCGAAGGAAGTTATCGCCATAAGTTGGATTTTCTTAAGTTTATTTTATCTCATCAAATTAAAACTTCTGCCTGAATAAGGCAGGCATTTAGCTGATTAATAAATTCAAAGCAAACACTGAACTACACAGAATATACAACATCACCTATTCTTGCTCATGGCAATGGGGATCCGCCTTCATGACAGTCCACGAACTCAAAAGTGGTTTTAGCAGAAATGGCAACCTATCAGGCCTATTCATGTAGCTCTTCTCTTCAACATCAATGAAATAAATAGAGCCATTACTAAAAGGAATTCCCAGGATTGGGAAACTGAGGCAAAACCATGCCCGAGTAGCATGGTATACCCAGCCAATTAACAAAAAGAGGTCTCATACGCAAGGTTTTTGTCTACTCTTGCACAATTCGTATTTCCTTTAAAAATGTTTAGATGTAGAAGATGGATTCAATTAAGATAATGGAAGAAACCAACTGCAATCCCATGAGTCGTGCACACAGAAATATGAACCAGATGAGACGTTCATTTGCAGTCCGTAGTATTTCTGGTGAAAGGAAGAGTAAACACACACACACACACACACGCACACGCACGCACGCACGCACGTTTGAGGCAAACTTCCTAATTAAGGATTAACAAACCCAAACCAAAGATGATACATCTGTCTGTGAGGAGGGAAACAGA